GAATCTATTTGAGCGGAGGGAACTAGCAGAAACCCGATTGAATTCTTTTTTCGTTTTCGGTTTTATACGCGAAAAATTCTTTGTTCTTGGTTGCGAATAATGTATATGAGTTTCTGTTTTCATAATTATATTTGCTCAACATTCGAATTGGAGATATCTTCAAACAGAAAGTAGTGGGCAAACATTTAGGCATGCAAATCGGGATAAAAAGATTCAGTATGGTTAGGAAACTTAATTTAATATAGGTTATGATATGTTTGGTTAGTTTAAAGGTGTATGTTAAGTTGCCTACCTTATTTTTATTTAATTTTATTAAAACTAAGTTTAAACACAATTTTTATATGCGCAAATAGAGATAAAAGAGGTTTAGTCAAAAGTTACGCAAATCTAACCTAAAAAACTTTAAAAGTTAGATAACTTAGGTCACTGTAACGCTGTATGTTAAGTTGCCTACATACTTCTGGCGTTGGAATAAGCAAATTTTGACAGAGTTTAAATCGAGCGCGTCCTCGCAATGCCCTCCAACTAGAGCTAACGAGAGGCGAATTATTTATAATTCATAGCGCTATTATTCGGGCGGGCGCGCGCCGCCGCCGAAATTTGCAATTCCGGCGCGGCGGCATTATGAAAGCGCCATTAACGGATTACGCCGCAAACGAATTCGCATTTATTTATTCGCGCCTCGTAATCATAAACCGCACACGCGCGTTCTTCCCACCCCCTTGGTTTGACGCCCGCCAACCGCCGCGATCGCTCGCTTTAATCGCGCGCTCGCCGGCGGTAATTTCTAATTGTAATTATTGCTAATAACGCGCGCTTCGTGCGTTTTCATCAACCTCAACGAGATGCCAATTGCATTGTGAGTCATTTTTTCACGCGCAAAACTAATTAAACAATTCGCTTATTTCATTTATTTCGTTATTCCGATGCGTGTTTGATATTTCAAATTGCGGTTATAAAAAATTCATCAAATATTTAATATAAATTTATTAATTTAAATTCATTTTCAATAAAAAATGAAAAAAATGGCAAAAAATTAAAAAAATTAAAACTTAGTTTGTAACTCAGATAAAAATCCATGTAATAATTTATTTTTAGTAAAACTAAACAAGAATAGTTTTCAGCACGGTGAATTCCTGCGATTCCTGCAATAGTCACGCTTCCCTCGACGTTTCTTGCAGGTATAAATTGCAGATGTAAAATAATACCGCAACTGAAAGAATATTGCCACCTTTACCATCGTCCTGCACCCGTACGGTCCGTCCTAATGCTCCTGCTGCAATTGCAAGCACATTCGGAAAAGACGTGACAATTATACGAGATTTCCTCTTCCGCGCGCTCTCATTTTTTTGCGCTCGGCGCGGTGCGCGCGAAGCGACTTTGACGATTCAACGACTTTTCCAACCCTCCGGGCATATTCCCGTGTATTACACGCAGGCAGCGCTTGCGAACGATATTGCGCCAGTTAGGGGTGCGATATTACGAGATAGTATCAGCAGTATTCGATATTACGAGCGATATAACACTTTCGAAATGCTCGATTGCCGCGCAACGCGCGCGTAATCCAGTAAAATCGTCCCGAAAACCGATCGTATAAATGCAATAAGTGCGAGGTCCACTTCGCTATGAGTCGGGAAATTGTCAGGACAATCAAATATCTGCTAGTAAAGCATGTGAACTTCGTTTGGTGGGAAATTTTACATTGTTTTAGGCAGTTCTTTACGTTTATTTAATTAAAAATCATAAAATTATGTATATTTGGTTGCCTATGTTAAATAATTGACACACTTATTGTATGCAACCAACAAAACAAATATTTTAGTTAATATTAATTTTAACAGTGTTTTTGATAATTAAGTTAACTTTTTTTGTTGTCACCAAATTTTGAGGATGTCCAGTTGAACAATCACAACCCAAAAGCCCGAAAAACAATATGTTTTCAAGTGGTTTCGACTCATTTCCCTTCGTTTCCGCTCGTCCTTTTGCCATTTCAACGTTTGTGCGCTTTCCAAAGCGTTGCACGTTTGCATTTTAATTTTCAATATTCACCTTTTTTAATTTCATTTTGCGCGAGCGGCGACCGACAAACGGTGAGTGCCGGCGCTTTGCATATCTATTTGTTTTTATTAGTTTTTGGAGCGGCGGCGGCGGCGGCATGCGCGCAAATTGCCACCCTTAAAACTAGCCGTCCCTGGGCTCGTTAACGTGCCGCCGCACTTGTCGGCACGCACGGATGGGCGGCACGCAGGACGAAATTAAATTTTCATTAAAAGGTAACTCTTTCGCGATGTGCACCGTTTGCACATCACACTTCGCCTCACACCGTACGGCAATTAATTTTTTAAACGTTTTTGGGCAAAAAATCACATAATTGATGCAAAAAATGCAAAATATTATGAAAATATAATTTATAGTGCAAAAGATAGGTTATGTATATACGCGCATGCGCAGTATGATTATGGGCGGAGCAAATTTTACATAAAATACATTTTATTACCATTAAATAAAATATTTTTACAGAAAAATCCCAAGAAAAGTTATTGTAACTAATTAATATCTACAAAATAAAAAAAGTTGTTTTAAGAAAAGCTCCTCGTGGAAAATTGCAGTGAAAGTAATGAAACCTTCAAAGTAACAGACCATAATGATAGGTATCAGCAATGTTCTATATACAGAGTGTTTTAAACCTAATTAAATGAAAATTTTATGGCATTTTGATGATTTTTCCGTGACACTCTGTATAAAATAATCTCCGATAAAAAATCTTCGATGCTCGGTGCGACTATGGCAACTCTTAAGTCAACGTCGATTCGGCCGTAACTCCCTTTTAATTTAACATCGCCGCATCGTGCGCTGCAACCGTGGGGCGGTTTGTGGACGCACCGAGCGTAACACGGTAATTTGCCGCATCGATCTCGTCCCGGCGGCGGCCGCCCGAGCGTATCCGCGCATTTATCTATCCATCTATCTATCGCAGGCGTCGCCGCTTATAATCGGCTTCTGCAGGTCTAATTTGTTACCTTTCGGACCACCATTCTCCCGCCGCCCATTATTTCTGGCACCGACACCCTCGATACCTTTGTTACCGTTTTCTTTCTCCATCCAGGCGCAGGAAGGAAGCGTGTAAGGGACGTAGAGGACTAAAAGTCACGCTGGAAACTGTTAAAATGTTATATTAGAAGACGTTAGTTAACGCCCCGAGCCAATAACAAGCAATAAGTTTCGACTCAGAGCGTCGGAATCCAGGGCGCTCCGGAAAGGAAAGCTCCGAAGGACATTTCGGAAGAGTCTTATGGCGTGGAAGGCACTGGCCCGCTGCGATAATGGCGAATGATGGCAAATTGTGACGACGTTTAATAGTCTTACGTCAAATTTATATCTACTAGATGTTTTTGATACGAAACTACAAGCATTTTTAGGTGTAAATAGTAATTAAACTTTCCGACACTTTTTTCTGAATTCTTTTTGAGTTTAAATCGTGATTTTCGCCAATTAGCATCCCCTTGATGGTGATTAATCACATCCTCATCGCCCGCTTCTTTAATTCCACTCTTGTAACACTCCAGAGCGGCGAATGGCAAATGGCAAAACACCCTCGAGGTCTTTGCCAGGACGCGGGCTTCGCCGGATCTCAAATCCAATAACAATTACGTGAATTTACGTGGAGAATCCTCCAAGAATGCAATGTTACCTGCCGGAATGCGAAGCGTCGAGTGGCGTCGATCGCTTTGTGCAATTATCCGCGCATTCGTCCTCGGCACCGCCACCGGCCGTTGTAAGTGTAATTGTCGTCCTGTCGACTTTTCGCAATTACGAGGTCCGTTCGAAATTTTCGAAATGCGCAAAATTTGTGCACTATTCGAATAGATCAACGTGTAATGCTGGAAAGCAAGCGACACGTCGTAAAATTTTGGTGGAGGACTTATATTGTTTGAACGAGGGAGGATTTTTATGATTGTGATCCTTTTGGATACTCGAGAAGTTTTCTGTAGCTGTAGCAACTCGAAAACTAGATGTTTGAGCACGAATAAGGACATGAAAACGAAGGAGGACAGTGAAATAAAAGTTTTCGGTAGTAGTTTAACTTTGATGAATGTCTTTTTGCTTGTTATCGATTGGGTGATTTATCGGAAGCGATGTATAAGTGTTTTGAATGCTTTAAATGTCATAAAATCCACTTTTACTCACATTTTATTTCTAAAAACAAAAAGAGTTTTGTCAGAATCCTGTGAATGTCATTGAGATGTCATTTGATTGGGCAATATATTGAGTGCTGTGTCAATAGAAGTGCCCCGTGTTCTGGACACCGTACAAGAGAAACGGTAAAAGTGACTCGTACTCAGGGCACCGTCAAGGGCAGCGGTAGAAGTGACTCTTATTCAGGGCATCTCACAAGGGCAGCGGTAGAAGTCACTCGTATTCAGGGCACCGTAAAAGGGTAGCAGTAGAAGTGACTCGTGTTCAGAGCACCGTACAAGAGTAGCGGTAGACGTGACTCATGTTCAGAGCACCGTACAAAGGCAGCGGTAGAAGTGACTCGTGTTCAGGGCACCGTACAAAGGCAGCGGTGGAAATGACTCGTATTCAGGGCACCGTACGTGGAAGAATGTATAACTGACTCCCATTTGCCCATTTTTTCTTATGAATTAAAATTTCATTACTTACACATCCATTTTAATAAGCTTATCTCATAGAAAATATTCCGTACATTAAGAATTTGAAATCTGCTTGTAGATATCTTTTAATAAATAAATGGAATATGGAATTAAATAAAGATGCACTAAAAATCATAAAATCGAATTATTCGGCTTATTTTTATATTTATCGGCAAACGTGGGCACGAGAATAGTTTTGTATACATTGCTGTTATCTGCGATTCGGTGTAAACAACATTTTTATCGCATGTGTCCCGCGCGCTGTCTCCTAGCCGCCGCATCAACTTGCTTACATGCAGCGAAGTCAAGTTTAGTTTAGATCACAGGTATTGTGGCTATTGCAAAGTCGCTCACAAGGTCGCGTCTCATCGACGCGCCGTCTTTGCGCACCTCTTACTTTCTTATCATATACTGTCCCGTCGATGTTTACGCAGTTTCGGCATGCACTATCGGTGGATTGCAGCCAGTTTCGTGCCGGTCGCTGGTTAATCGAGTCGTGTTTTGTGAGACTTATATCGTTTATTCGGACTTCAATTTTCTAAATTTGTGTTATACTCGACGATCAATCGACTATTTATTTGTACTTTGCTACTATAGTAATTTGTTTAATGTTCGAAAATGCCGGTTTTTGATCGCGTTACAAGTTACGTAATAGGGGATTTGATAACATTCTTTACTCGGCGTTGTGATTGGTGTCGGTTACTAAATTAAATGGATGCACATTTGAACTTGAGTGTTATAGTTAAGCAAATACAAATCATGTTAAAAATGAAAAGAATTGTTGGTAAGTGAATTAAAAATGTAACAAATATGTTGTAAATTATTTATTTGTTTATTAAAGTTTAATTTTTGTTTATTTTAGCACCAGATTTTTTTGCCAAGTCACCATCGAACACCAATTTGAAGTTTTATACTCTCAGGTAAGTGTTCAGTTTGTCTATGAACATCTCTATAAGACCTTGGTTGCTTAAGTATTATCTTGATAAACTGGTGAGCGTCGCTTGTTCAAACGTAAATTATAATCTTCATTATTTAACAAATTATGGTCGCTTTATCTAGCCATGGTAGCCGCACACCAGCAACACCCGCCGCTAGTGCCCGCTTTGCCCCTCAGTAGCTTGGCTAGAAGTAGGCAAATAATAGCTACCTACGCGCGGAAAACCAAAGAGGAATTGCCGGCCGGCGGCGGCAAAAGCGTTGGTGGTGGCGTCGGCTCCGTGCTCGAGTAGTTTAAATTGCGACAGATATACACCGTCCGGGTGGCACGAAAGGCTAGCCGCAAGCCATGCATCTTACGTTATGTACTGGCCCCGACTGGTGGCGGCTGCCACCGACCCAGGGGCGGCGGTTGTCGGCGAAAGCAGCTCCGACAAACCAGCGGCGTATTGTTGCTTAATTTATTGCTATTTACTATGCGGTTGTTATCCGGGGCTACAACTATTTCACACCGAAACGTCGAAAATCATGAACACGTTATTTTAAAAGCAATTCAATACGAAATTAAACTCAACACTTCGTATGAAATATTGTTGTGTAAATTGATAAAGAATTCGATTTCCTAATAATTTCCGTCCGGATAACAGGAAACTATTATATAGCGTTAGAGCTTTTCCTGTTAGACTCGCTATTTTCTATTTTCAAGTTGATAAGTTATAAGTTAAAATTGTTGGCGGGAAATTAATAGATTTTTCCTCGTGCTGCTGGCGCTGCTGCGACTGCAGGCTGCAGGAAGAAAATGTGAAAATGCGAAAAGTCTACACGCTGCCGCCTCCGGGAGCAGATTGGCGTGTGAAAAGGTATCAAAGGCGAAAAGCTCGCCTTTATGTGAGTTAATTCTTATATGAAATTGCTTCTTGCGCCGAAACGTGTCACAACTTGTCAGCGACAGCATCAAAATGGATGCATCATACATCCATAGGAAAACCGAACAAAAATCAAACAATAACAATGTATTTTAGTAAATACACGTTATTATTGTTTACTTTTATCTGCAATTATGTTATATCTGTTAATTTTCTCACTTTTATAACTATAACTATAATTGAGTCTCTATAACAACTTTCATCCCTTATTTCACACCTTTTGAGATATATTTTTGGGATAAAAAGTAGTATATTTGCTTTTCCTTAATCAAAAATATCTGTTTACCAAAATTTATCAAAATCGGTTGTTTAGTTTTTGCGTGAAAGCGTAACAAACACACAAATGCAAAATTTTGCCTTCCTCTGTGCTGCCATCTCTCATCATGCCCAATTTTGACTGATTTTTACGACCGTTTTTTCCGTTGCTGAAATGTAGAGTCTAAAAACGTATCGAAAATAAATATAAAACACGTTTCGCCATCAAATGAATAAATAATGAACATTTCGTCAATACTACACGTAATCCACTATATCCTCTCATAAAATGTAAGAATAGAAAGTCCTACGATTTTATTTTTATCTTTTTTACCATTAAAATAATCAAAAATGATTTAAACATGTGTTAAAAATATTTTCTTCAATTATGTTTTTATTTAAATTAATTTCAAACACTCTGTGCGTGTAATCATGCAATTGGCTCACCTAAAATTTGAATATTTAACGAACACCTCTGTGCCGCTCGACCACCTCGACGATAAACACAAAAACGCTCGAAATGTTGATGGCAACGCTGATGACCGGGCCGAAATCGCTAAAAATCGGCTTTACACTACCGCTTCCGGGATTCCATCACTAAATAGCTTATTAAAATCTCGCGGATTGATGATACGGATCGCACTCTCACGCCAGGTGTATTTTCACACAATATTCTAACAAAATTCACACCGATTTCATTAATTAAAATTAAAATTCTAACCAATTATGAATTTTCAACACTTTATACAGGATTTGACATAAATCTCTTTAACATTTAACAAGATTAATAGTACTTTTACTAGTTTTACTTACTGATATGCATGAAATATATATGAATAGATATGTTGAGTGTCGGCGGGAGGTGTGCGGTAGGAATCGCAGGAATGGCATGATTTGCATTTTCCATTTTCGTTGTTTCGCCTGACGCGAGAGCGCTTTGTCGGTTGGTAAATTATTTATAAGTAGTGCGCGAGCGTATAATGCAAGCCGGGTGTGATTTTTGCGTTTTACGTGGAAGCGCGGAAAACGATACACGCTGCCGACGCCACCGCCGCCGTGTTGCCTGCAAGTGGCTGGTGTGGAGGCGGCTGCAAAAGCTCGGCGAGAGATTAAACGTGAGCGCGCTTGTTGGCCGTAATCGGTTGATGTGACTCCAACACCTGTGCATCGACCACCTCCAACCGCCCCCACTGCTAACTCATACTCTCATCTAACTTACAACAGCTAGACATTTCAATTATATTTTTGGATGGTTTACTTTTTTTGATGAAATTTGATAGAAAATTTTATTTTTTTGGTTTTTTAATTTTTTTTTTGTATTTGAGGGCAGAAATTTATTAAAAATTGTTTTTAAATTATTTTCAAAATTTATGATAAAAAAGTAAAGTTTTTGGAAAATTTAGAATAGAAAATTGATTTTTTTTGGTTTCTGATTTCATTTTTTTGTGTTTGAGGGCAGAAATTTATTAAAAGTTGCTTTTAAATGATGTTAAACACGATTATTTCGAAAATTTTTAATAGAAAAGTTAAGTTTTTGGAAAATTTTGAATTGAAAAGTTAAATTTTTTGTTGTTCTTTTTCGAATTTCACATTTTCTCGTGTTTTAAGACAAAATTTTATTAAAAATTGCTTTTGGATAATCTAAAACTCGAATCTTTGGAAATTTTGAATTAAAAACGCTCAATTTTTGGTTTTCCGTTTTTGAATTTCATATTTTTCCGTATTTTAAGTCAAAAATTTCTTTAAAATTTTTTTCTAAATCAAATAATTCCCGATTATTTGAAAAATCCGTAATAGAAAAGTTGTTTTGACGTTTGAATGGATTTCCACGCGTTTTATATTTCTTATTGAAGTGGAAACAAGCGCTGATTACCTGATTCCACCTGCCATAATTGGCAATTTCGACTAGCAGCCGTAAAAAATCAGCGCGCGCACACACTACACACCCAAAATGAAGCATCATCATCATCAATCGAATTGTTCCGATGCGCTGCTCATTAATTGATTGGAACGCGCGCACAATGCACATGCACCGCTGGGTTGGCGGCAGCGGAGGCGGCGTACACGAAGCCGAATCGAATTCATCGGCATAATTAATTGCTCCTGCCGCCGCGGCCGCTTGGCTGTTACACATCACCGGCGAACAATTTAAAACCAGCGCGTGCACTTTTCCATCCCGCACACACGCCGCCCCGCCAACTCTAATTGATATGCGGTAATTAATTATAGAATGTCATTGCGCGCTCATTTATTACGCGCACGCGGAGCGACATCGTTTCAATCAACATTACAACTAATTAGGGCATAATATCGCGGATGTGCACTTTTTCGACGACCTGCGGCTCTGTGTGACGTTTTGCGTGCACACCCAGCATGATAACAATTTCACACTTCGTAGAATCAGCTATTTTATTATGAAATTTTCCAACTTTTGAGCTCGCCGCTCGGCCGGGATGTGCTGCGTTGTTGAAAATTTCCAGGGTGCGCGCGGCGGCAGCGCAATTAAATCCATTGTGCGCGCATTCGACCGTAACGAATGACGGCGGCGCGCTTTTTCGAAAATTTCGCGCAGAATTGCAATTTGGCGCGGGCGGCGTGAAAAACTTGTCCCGCGTGTGACCAAAACCAGAGGGGGTCAGGCCTGGGGGGTGAAATTTACATGGCAGGAGAGTGATAGATTCGGTGCCATTTCACATTTCGCGCGGCCATTTGTTAGTTGCGCATCGTTTTAATAATAACACATTTGTAGCACACCCAATCGACAGGCTAACCTAATTGATGGCGTTTAAATTTAATGAATTATAATTATTCACGCGCCGTGGACAACAAATTTGCTAATTTGTCAATATTAAACATGCATTGTTTGAATTTGCGCTAAAATTCGAAATAAATTGCCTCAGCGTTTAAAATCGTCTCGTTTCTGACAAGACAATTTTAGCGTGAATAGTCGTGAATGTCCCTGCATGCCGTGGAAAATAGAAAACGACCGGCAATCGTCCTGCACGTCGCCGCAGCGCGCGCGTAACAATTCGTAACAGTTCATAATTGAATCTGCCAATGTTCAATTGATCAATGCCGCTGGACGTCGGCCGTCACGTCCGTCCGGAGTGCCGCCTCCACCGCCGCCGCCGTCCCAACGCGCGCCATGCTGCACGTGCACATTCAGCCGGCGCGCGCGTTCAATACGTTCGTTTCCATCAATTGCCGGCGCGCCACCGACGGCTAACGACTGGAAAGCGGAACTGCGGCTCTCCTGCTGCGCGAAGCATGCACAGGTGGCAATCGCAGGAATCGCGCCTAGGATTCGCGGCTCGAATTCGATTTATTGCTTGCAGAACTTGCGTATGGGCGAATGGTCAATGTGTTGCAGATTGTATGTTATCCTGCAGCCGGCTGGATGGTACATCCTGGAAGAGCAAATATACCGTGTGGAAAATTAAATTTTGGTCATATTGGAATAGAAAATTTCATTTTAGCAAAAAAAATTTTTAATATCGGTTAAAATAGTTATTTTTGAACACAAAAAAATTAATGACTTAAATTTATTGTACATTCGGTATAGTTTTGTATATTCTATGGCATTTGCATGCGTACACACACCAAGGAGTGTCCATCGGGACACTCGCCTGTGGCTGCAGCAGGACGGCAGGACCCACCGGGGGAGGGTTGCTCGTTAGGTCATTAGTGCTGCACTATTGACCGTTTTGCGCTTTGACGGCGCCCAATTTATATCGTTAGTTCGGTTAAAATCGCGCCTCTCTACTCCCAGACGACTTGCAACAGGAATTTATCTATTCAGTAGGGGTATTTTTATTTATAATCGCAAAAGAGTTACGTTTTTCTATTGACTATGAAGTAAAGTATGACATAACCAACATTGAAGATGTCATTCATACGCGCATGCGCATCAATTCAAGGATCTCTTCAACTTATGTATAGATACGAGTACAGTTTGTATAGAAATCAAAACACTGTAATTACACTGCAGTCCTCAACCGTATTTTGTGTTTTCATGTTTTCACTGCAATAAAACTGCGCAAAAGAAAAGTAAAGCTCATTACAAAAATTACAGAAATTAAAGAAAC